GTGTGTGTGTGTGTGTGTGCACGCGCAAAATATATCATGAACAACTGAACTAATTTTAATAAATAAAACTCAGAAAATAAGCACTGGATGTTAAAGTAAACCCTGTTTTTTTCCATCACTAAAAGGTTTGGCAAGATTTTTAATTAAAGCTTTGATGTGCAAGAAATGTATGATTTGTATTTTTTAGTATTACCTGTATTTATTTATTTTTTTATTTTAAATGTAGTTTTACATTAAAACAAGTCAGAGCAATGCGCAACCTGCCTTTTTTTCCCCCCAAGAACTGAATTCACATAAAGATGTGGCTGTTGGTCATGTCAGGAGTCACACAGCGAATAAACAGAAAGATATTTGTCTTTTATATAATAAATCATCAAAATAAATTGCTGCTGTGTGGCAAGCTGAATGAATGCCAGCATGGTCTGAAGGAGAGAGAAAGCTGGTGGGAAAAAGTGCAGATGAGATTTGCAGCCGTGGCTGAGGAGCCTCTATGTAAACACTGTCACTCCTGTCAGAGCGAGGCCTGGGAGATTCAGATTGTGTGCTGGCTGGAGACGTGCAGGCGTGCCAATTGCTTCAAGTTTGCTTAAACCTTTGAAGCAAGATGACCCTCGGATTATAGAAACAAAAAAAAAAAAAAAAATTACACTACGTCTAATAATAACTTTCTGCCAGAGCCTCATTTTCTGTAGTTTCACCTCAAATTTCATGATTCATGATCAAATCAAACCATAGCTTACTCCATATGGTGAGACTAAAACACAGACTTTAAGACAGAATTCTGTTTTTGAAACACTCATGTGAAAGCTTCTGTTGGCTCAGAGACTTGTTTTCATGAAAACATAAATAATTATAAACTCTCTTTGAGTCAAACATGCTTTTTTGACAAATGCTTCAAGTGTTTCTGCAAGAGCAGCAGTTTGAGCTAAGCCTTTGGGAGATGTTCTTTTAACTCTGGACTGAGCTCTAAAAGTCAAAATAAGATTAGAAGCTCGCATCATTTATGCTTTGTTTTCATCTGATTCTGTTTTTTAGCATTCTGATTAAATTTTCAGAGGATTCTTCTTTCATCAGTGTCAGTCGCTCTCTGTCAGACGTGTTAGTTTGGTCACATCCACCAATGGTTGGGTTCAGCTTATCTGCCAGAGTCAGCCTGGGGTTGGCTCCCCGTCACAAATCCATGTTCAGGGCCAAGCCTGAGCATGAGAGGGCAGGGGGTCTTTTATTTAGTGTTCTCTCCTCCCCTGCTTCATTCTTTGTGCTGTCAGAACCAATCAGATCATGAGACTGACTTTCTTTTACAACAACAGAGTCTTCTCAGACATCAGAAATCTCTATTCGCTTGCATTTTTACCAAATTGCAAACAATAAAATGATCCAGCGAAATCAAAATACAGTTGTCAACCTTTTCCATTTTTGCTAACTGAAAGTAAAACTTCTTCACCTCATAAATCTTTCCAAGATTAGTAGATTTGTTTTACTGGCTCTGCACATTAAGCTGTAGTTTTAAAGTCATTAACTCTGTGAAATAAGCTTCTTTTGAAAATAATATTCATAATAATTTCCTTACAGTGAGATGATTACTTTCCAATGTTCCACATGAGCCGGTGCAGGTATACGCTGAAAGGTTGTGATGGAATTCCACGGTGGGTCTAAGCCATACGCTCTTCAAAAATATTAAAAGCAGACTTCAGCACTTGCGTACTCTGGGACATATGATATAGATGTGGTAAGAACCATAATGAAAGAAGATCCATTAGGGAACGTATTGAAAATATGAAGTCAGGATAAGACATTTGTGGCTGTTGGGTGGAACAACTGGTAAGCAGAAAGCAGCCCCTGCCAAGGACAGGATGTAACATGTGAAACTAACTCGATGCCTGCGACTTTTCACAATATATTTTATAAGAACGGCAGGACTCTTGTGTTTGTCTTATAGCAGCTAAGACTGCGACTCTCTCTGATAGAGTTTGCAGGCTGGATTCAATTAAACACATCTGCAGTAGTGTGTTTATTTAAAAATGCATTGGATGGAAATTCAACAAAACTTACAAAAAGATGTGACAATTTATAGATAATGTATCATTTTTTGAGCTCCCTTTCGTTCAACTGATGACCCCATTACATTCTCAATCAATACCAGGGGGCATCAATGTCAGCAGCATGATTTGATGCTCTGTACAGCTGCTGAGCCTTTAAAGGCACTACAAGAGATTAGGTTGTGACTTCCTGTTACATTGTTGTGACCTCCGATTATGTAGATTTGTGTGACCAACTGTTATATAGGTAAGTGTGACCTCCAGTTATTTATCTATGTGTGAACTCCAGTTATATATTAAAGTGTGACTTCCTGTTACATTGCTGTGACCTCCAATTATGTAGATAAGTGTGAGCAACTGTTATATAGTTAAGTGTGACCTCCAGTTATTTATCTTTGTGTGACTTCTGGTTACATAGCTAAGTGTGACCTCCTTTTAATAACTACGTGTGACCTCCTGCTAAATAGTTGTGTGACCTCCTGTTAATAACTAAGTGTGACCTCCTGTTAATAACTAAGTGTGACCTCCTGTTAAATAGTTAAGTATGACCTCCTGTTAAATAGATAAGTGTGACCTCCTGTTATAAATATAAGTGTGACATCCTGTTATATATAAATGTCATCATGAAAAAAAAAACAATGTTTACCAGACCAGCAGGATTTAATCTCAATGTCAAAATACACTGAAGCAGAAAAGATGCAGTTAAAGACTGGAAAAATGGGCTGCAGAAATGTAAATGATAGAAATGATAATGTTGTAACAGGGGAGCAGAGTGCGATGGGAGTATGGAACGTTGAAGAGCTCATGAATTGAAGGAAAAGAAAAGTAGAGGTCATAGAAACTGTTGTACAGGAGGTGGGAATGATAGTGAAGCTGAAGTTTGGAAAGCTTGAAACGGCTGAAGAAAAAAACATCCTATCCTTTTTATCAATTTATAATTTTCTCATTAAATGACTTAACAACTTTAATGTGACACTCAGAGAACTTTCTGAAAATGTAAACGGCCCAGAAAAAGTAAATCTTTCTCACTCTGATTTAATCTCTAGCCTAACATGCATTCTTTGGAACAGTAGAAGAAGAAAACCTCAACACACCAGGACACGTCAACAAAAACAGTGCAGTGAAAAGTTTCCTTCCAGCATAAAAATTCTGTAACGCATGATAAGCATCAATAAAACCTTCATCATTATGAATAAATACACCAATAATTATATACCTTTTCATGTTAATGGTTAGAGAACTGCAGCTGTGGAAAAAGGTTTGTTAGTTTGTAGGATTTCATTAGTGGTTAGTAGTGATCACCACCTTAACCTCAAGCTGAGAAGGTCTCTGATTTAAACTTTGGACTCTTTCTGTGTGGAGATTGTCTTCTCTGGAAACTCTGGGCCATGAGTTTATGATTGTTTGTCTCATGTGTGTCTGTGTTGGCCCTGATGACTTGATGACATGTCCGGTACGTATCCTACCACTCTATAGGCTTTAGCACAATCTGAAATAGAATAAAGCAGATATAGAAAATTAATTCCTCTGACTTCATCATCTACATTTTGTCTACAGTATGTGTTTCAGACCGATATCACTTTTATGTTAATAGTTCTCATGGCGTAAATATCTGTACACAAACAAAATGTCATATAAGTACAGAATTTGGTGGAATTACAAGTCCCTCCACAAACATTAATGGCAAATAATATTTATATATATACAGCGGGTTAAATAAATGTTGAACACGTCAACATTTCTCTCAGTACATATACTGTATTACTAGAGGTGCTAATTACATGAAATTTTCACCAGATGTCGGTAACAACCCAAGTGATCCATACATACAAAGAAATCAAACCATAATGGTGCGTTCACACCGAACGCGATTTCAGCTTCAAAATCGCAGCCAACGCTGAAGTTTGAAGCTTGTACACTT